TTCTAATACTTTGCATTTCACTGTTGTGAAGGACAGAAAAATCTGATATTAGTATAGAAATATTAAAAGCAAAAATTTAACCCAGAACATGCTGACATATGGAAATTTATATTACACTGTTAAAAAACCCTATTATATTACACTACTAAAAAACCCTATTAAAACCAGAAATGTGCCATATATATTACTGATGTTCATCATAGAATCATTTCCAAGAAATAGAAATAATATGAGACCACAGATAACTGTGGTGTTGTCTACTGAGAACATACACTCGTCATTTGCACCAGAGATGGAAGAAAACTATTAGATCATAGTTCACACCCTGCAGATGGAGTAAACCATCTTCTGCTGAACAACCTCACAGATATTAAAGAGATGACACGTCATCATCTGAGGTCCATCCCTAAAAGCTACAAATTACACAAAATACACCCTGAAATGATCCTAGTGTATGTGTTGAAAATGTCACTGGAAATGCTACGCAGAGAAGCGATAGTTGTATTTCTAACTGTTTATAGCAATTCTAGTATAGCATCATTACTTATAAACTTGCACACGCACAAAAATAATCCTGAAATATCACTTTGTTTTTATGTTCTGTTTAGAATAAGTTATATGCAAAGACAGGTCATTACACGTTCCAGAAACATTTCCTCAGAAAAAAATTATAATATAATCAGGACGTTCAGCTGCCACCCCACTCAACTTGGACAAAGATGTAACAAAGAATTTTCCTCTCACGCATGGCGATTAAGTCTGCTTTGTACTTTTAAACACAACAGAAATCAGAAAAGTGAAAAAGTTGGCCTGTAAGGAAAAAGTTTATACAGACTAATTACTTAGAAATTTCTCTGCACTCTGACCAAACCAGTTTCTCACTAGTACACCAAACATGACAGCCACAAACCTTTCAAGAAAAGTGTAAGTCTCTCTGAATTTTTTCAGTATGGGTTAACAGCCGGACACAAGAGCAGGCACAAGACGATGTATCAGAAAAGGCTAGACTGATCTCAGGAGATCCCCAGATTGCTCGCTCCCAAAATTGTTGCTATTGTATCCAAAAACGATTTTTCAGAGTTTCATCACATAAAAAAGGAGAGGTGGACTTCTATGACTTATCAGTCCGATTATTCCCAGTTATGCAAGTCAATAGCCAGACAAGCTTTTTTTTCTTCCTTCGTTACAATTGTTAATACAATTTAATATGCAAAATTGCAGTACTCCCAGACCATATTATTAAAAAGCTCATAAATTCCCTCAGGACAAAGGTAGCCTTATCTACTTCAATACTATTATTTTTTGAATTTTAACTAGCACAAGACACACACAAAAAAAAAAGGCATAAGAAAAGAAAAATGTACTTGTGAACTCTAGGAAAGGACAGAACCTTCCCATAAGTGCTAGAACAAGTACGACCAGAAGAGGTAGAGAAATAATTACTGGGAAAAGGTCACATAAATGCAACTTTGAAGCTCAGAAGTCACTGCATTTCTTCGCATTTTACAGATGTTTGGACACTAGGATGACATCAGGATCACCTTAAATAAATACAGCCGTCACATACCCTTTTGGCCTTCATTAACCACCGCACCATACGACACAGCTATCATCATACCTGGTGGACTGGGCTTTTCAGTCAGGGCTGGGTGACTCACCTCAGATGTACACCCTTCCTACATAATTTGAAAAGGAGCTGATGGGAAGCATAGGAAATTGGAGGACTTGCCCCTAACAGCAAAACTCATTTTAATATCCTAGATCAGAAGTTATCTGGGGCCTCAGCTGTCACTGTAGCCCCACAATACGCAGAGTTAAGGTTATCTTTTCCCAAAGCATGTCCTTGCCATCTTCCCAGCTCTTTAGGGATGGGTCTCCAGCCCATCATATATAGCGGATTTTCACTGAACTGTGATAGTGTCTCTTATTGTGCACTTAATGTGATTCCTGCTCCAAGCAGTTTATTCTTTTGTTGTTATTTTTTAAACATTAACAATTACAAAATAAAATGCAAAACCAACCTGTGGAGCAAGAACATGAGCCCAGATGCTCCCTAAAAAGGTCTAATACATTACATTAGAGTTCTAAACTTGCCTGCCTTTCTGTAGCCCAGTGAGTTTTTAATTTCTACTGCAGAATGACACTATTTGAATAAGGAATGGAAATCAATCTATTTGTATACAAAACTTGACCATGAAGAGGCAATTACAATGCCTTTTCGACTGGGTTTGGGCAGAGATGCCTCATTTTTTAGATCTCACTGAGTTTCAGGCATGTGGTGCAAAGTGTGTGGCTCAGCCCTTGCAGGCTGCAGCCTCAGGTGCAAACGAGCAGCTATGCAGACTGGTAATTTTAACTGCACACCACCACAGCAGCACCCAAGCTGGCAGCCACCTCTGGAGACGGCCCAGGACACTACGTGTCCCAGAGCAGGGTCAGCTACAGCCGCTCCTCCACAGATGAAGACTCCACAGCCTCTCTGGCAATCAGCTCCAGTGCTTAACCATCTCCCCAGTAAAAGTTTTTCTTCTCTTTACACAGAATTGCCTGCATTTCAATGTGCACCCACTGCCTCTTGTCCTGTGCCACTGGGCACCATCGAGAACAGCCTGGCTCCATCTTCTTTACTCTCCCACAAGGCAGTTCAACATGGATAAAATGCCCTTGAGTAGATAACCGTAATTGCACTGGCCCACCTCAAGCTGAAATGACTCTACACGCAGCAGCTGAGACAGACTTTAAGATGACAGACTTTGGGGACAGGCCCATAACTTCAGACACCATTAGTGCCTCCTTCCCCAGCACTCCCAACTTGTCTCCAAATGAAAAGCAGGATATGCTCCACAAACTTCACAGGTCTATCAGCATTTGAAATAGTTTATAGTATTCACACAACACACATTACAAAATTTCTTGATATAAGAACAGAAAAGACTGAAGATTTTATTGCCTTGTCAGATGTAAAAATTTATTTATGCTATTTATCAAGTGTTTAAATTTACACAAAAGACAACACTTCAACTTCAGGTCCAATTCTCCACCAGTAAGTCCTACAACAGAATACCCTTGACACTTCCACACACAATTTTTACAGGATGGCTTAGAACAGCAGAATCTCATAAATAACGGCCAACTTCACAAGCCTGCAGGTCACTACCTCATTAGTATTCCTCTACTGAGCATGACCCACAGAACAACGGAAGTCTTAAAACCATTTTAATCCCCAAACACTATCACTACTGCACTCGGAGCATTTAAATCACATTGCCCTGCATTAGTAACACCAAACATTATAACTAAAGATTTACCACATCTTCCCCTAACAAAACGCCTTTTTTTTTTTTTAAACATTAGAGAGAACTGTGCATCAACACAACAAACAACTGCAAAATACACAATCATCCATTTGGCTTGGTTTTCCAATAAAAATAACATCAGTCATCTATTTGTTAACTGCACCTCTTGTGTTGTACTCCTTTCCCCTCCCCTCTCACTTAGGAAACTACACTAGACCACGCAGTTTAACTGTAGCACTGAGGTAGCATATTTTAATTGAACAGAATAATACATCTGCTATTGTGCCTCCTCTCCTTTAAAGCACAAGAAAAAATCCCCACAGTTATTCAATTTCTTTGGAGAAGACAGGCATATAGTTCATTTCCAACAGCCACTCCATTTTTTAATTCAAAGCACAAAGCATCTTTGAATGGTAGGTACATTATACCAGCTAGAACAAATGAGAACATATACAAGAAAGAACTATGTCAGTTGTATTAGAACTATGGTTACATTTTAGCTCTATGGCACCTATTGTTCCCTTCTATGAAATGCATCTTTACAGTCTCTGAAATTTAATTTCAAAAGACTAGGATCCTGAAAAAGGGCAGCTGTGCCTCAGTTCTTCTAAATGATTTTCACGCTCTCTGCAGAAAGGGTCAAATAATTACAATAAAACCAAAAGAAATCAAATGGACCTAATAAAATCAATAGAAATTAGCAACATGAGTATATTAAAAGAACCGAAGTTAAGGCAAAAGATATAACATGCCTGAATGAACTGAGAGCACTTTCCATTCCACTTAAAAGTTAGAGCTGGGACAGCCTAAAAAACATAAAATCAATTAAAGAGTAGAAGCTTAGTTTCGTAACAACTTGAGACGAGCAGTATCTCAGCTTTGCCCTTCTGGCTAAAAGCCTTAAAAGAAAAAGCTGAAGTCAAGCTGTATCCAAGGCTGCAGCCTTAACACCCAGACTGTTCACTGAAGTTAACTCTTACAGATGCCTGTATATTTAGGTGTGAATAGTAAAGAGTGACCTCAAAGAACTGTAGTCATTTTCTGCTCTGCATGCCCTGCTGGTAGACATAACCTTGTTAAACTCTGTTGCACGATACACAATCCATACCGGATCTTTGAATCCCCCCTCTCCATTTTCCATGCAGCAAAGCAAAAATTTTACTGCAGTTAAAACCCCTTGAGTCAGCTGCACGCGTTAAGGGAAATTGATTTTTTAACACCTTGGAAAAGAGATTGAGAATGTAACTGACCTGACTGCTAAATAAACCCTCAGGAAAAACACTAAACAGCTGAGGAGAAAATGCATATGTTACAATGACAAATTCACGCTGTTTATGGAGACTTTAGTGTTAATCTTTCAAGTAATCCAAGACGAACTCCAACATCCGTTATAAAAAAATTTAAGGCTTTTATGAAGACCCACTTACATACAAAAGGAGTATTGAACAGAAAGAACTTGTTTACAGTAAATACAAACATCTAAAAAAATCTCTGAAACCTGTTTATACAAATACTAATAAATTCTTTAATATTTTGTACAACTAGAAGGTGCACAGGTTGGCATTCAAGCAGTCAATGCTGGCAAACATCTGTCAGACAATAACATGATTTACTTGGATAACAATATAGTTTAAAATGCCATAAATTAAAAAATAAGTTAGTTCACATTTTTTTTTCCCCCAGCTTTTATGTACATCTTAGTCTTTAATGATATCGTGTAGCCTTCTTCAGAAGCTCGAGGTCTTTCCGTCGGCTTTTGATCGCTCTGGCACAGCCATACTCTTCCAGTTGTAAAGGGATATACTTTTCTATCTGAATGAGCCCATGCCCAGCAGGACCAGTAAACAGCTTAATCCAGGATGGCTTAAAGTTTCCTCTGAAGCCCAGAAAGGCCAGGCTTCCTGTGACAAAAAGAAGCTCAGTGTTACCGCACCAGCCAAGCCTGTCCAAGCACAACACAGGACTAGCGGGGAAATTTCAGCTCCTCTGAAATTCTCCCCCCAGATTATTCAGAACATTAATCCACTCTCAGCTGCACGTGCACCAAGCAGGAAAATAATGATTTGCAATTTCTTTTTTCAATATTCGATATTAAATACTTTGAAATCTTAATTTGAAAACATGACTATCAGGACAGTTACAAAACCTGCTTTCTCAGACAGGACTTGTCCCAGGGCCCTGAATGGATGAGAGCTACCACATGTGGCCTATAAAGTCATTATCCCTCAAAATACCAACAGCTTCTAACCTCTACCTTTGCATTCTGTTAGAACAGGAAACACTAGCCTGGCACAGGAGATTGTTTAAAAACAGATTCGCTGAGTGAGGCACAAAATACAGGCTTTGGGAAAAAAGCCTGGGGCTCTTTTTCTGTAATCCACGGGCACAAAGAACTGCTAGTCTCTTCCTCTGCTTGCAACAAGCTTCACACAATGCCCTTCGGGGCAACAGGAAGGGTTTTCCACCCCATCTGCGGAAAGGCCGCCCTCCCTCCCTCTCGACAAGGGCTGAAACGCAGCAGCCCACACCAGCACAAACTGGCAACCATCCTCCGCCAGCTGCATCCTCTTCACACACCCCGTGAGAAACCCGCCACGCCAACATCGACACACAGACCAAGGCGGTGTCAGAGAAACATGCAAAATTTCCACCAACCGTTGCTCTGAAGATAAGGCGGTTTGGCTGTCCCCAGGGACATTAAGGCTTCTGATAAATTATTAGGAATTGCTACATCACCTCTTGTGCTCAGTAGAACGACAGACCTGCAGCAGAAATGATGCAGAGACAGCAGCTGTTATAAACAAAGTTTTTGTAATATTCAGCTACATACTTTCACAGCTGACTGGCCTCACAGTACACATGCTCTTAGAGCACTCATGCCATGTCATTTCATGACATGGAAACACTCAACCCTCTCTGAAAGCAGCACCTAGAAAAGCACCTGGCTACATGTGGGTTTTTTTCCAAACAGACTTTTAAATTTAACTTCAAAATCTTTGGAAAGTGTTATTTAAATATAGTTTAATATTTTGTGTCAAAAATCAAATGTAGCTGTTGGTCTGAAATTAGAATATTAGAATGCTGATTTTTCTTACACCAATGTTTTATCTTTCTTTAATGGTAAGCAATTTTCTCCCTAGACAGTGAGAGAACAGCGTGATATCGTCACATAGTTCTTGTCAGTGTCCTTAAGGGACCTTATTAAGCAAAAAGTTATTCTTGTTTTAAGCAAGGAAGTGTTATTATTACACAATGTTTAGTTAAAAACAATTTTTGACATGAAAGACAGGTGACACTGGAAAATTTTAAGCGTTCAAAATTTGAGTTAGCTTGTTTTCTCAAATAAGGCTAATTTGTCTGTTTAAATGCTCCTGTGTTTCTCTTTTCCCCTCAACTTAGATACACGTTTTGCTCACTGTCAGTGCACCTGTACATACAGGATTATTTAAATCCTTGTTAGAGAGCAGAGCTACAGCTTACAGGACATACTGGAAATAAGTGGTCATTAGACATACCTTTGTGGAATTCCAGATTTCAGATATCCATCTACACGTTTAATGTCTACTCCAGTAAATAATTTGTTTCCCGACACTGTGCCAACGCAGGCATCAACTACAACAATAAGTATACCATTATCCTTGAAGGAAAACATAGTGTCATTGACCTGAATGGGAGGAGAGAAAGAGAAAAGAACTTTTTCTTTCTTTCTTAAAGTTAATATGAATTTAACAGCCATTCTACTGCACTCAGTGTTAATCTTCATCTAGTTCAGACACTGTCGAGTACTAATTTCCTTACAAATACTTGCTTCTCCCTAGCATCTCCTCATTTTCCCCGTTGAGGGGAGGCTTTCAGTGGGACTTCTGAAATTGCACAGGAGCCTTTAGTCCCTAGCTTCTGTAAGGGAGATCACACATTTCAGGTGACTTACTACCTGCCTCAGTCATTGCTCCTGCTTCAGGAAGCTAAAATTCAGATACTGAACCACCTGGACTTCTTGGCAATAGTACAGTTGCTCTGTCTCTGCAGCAGCCCAGTTCCAGTCCAGTTTCTTCCTCCAGAGTGCTCTTCCTGCTCTGGGCATGGCACACACATTCCCACAGAAGTTTGCAGCTGCTAACGTTACACTGCTCACATGCCATTTCTCTGTCTAAATAACTCAAGAGTTTTACTATTTCAGCCAAGCTAACGCACTAACATTGCGGAATGTAAGCCACATACAGACTTGAAACTTTGTGGTGTGAGGATATCTGTAAATGCTATTTCAGTGTTCTATGCAAGTCTCCTTCAGCATCACAACAGAAAAGTCAAAGTAAACTATTTCTCATACAGTATCACATCACTAGACTCATAAAGACTGCATCAGAACAAATACAGAAATCTCTACAGATTCTTTAGTAACTGCCATTTGGAAGGAATTTACTAGAGCTTAATGGCTTGAATTACTCACCCCATTAACTCACCAACCTGTTCGCACAAAAAACAAATTTCAACAATAAAGACTTAACTAACAGGTTTGGGTTTTTTGGGTTTGTGTTTTTCTTTTTTTCTTTTTTTTCTTCAAAAGCAGCCATCAGTAAATGTATATCCATCCTGATTTCAACACGAAATCGTAAGATTTTAAACTCTCCCTTATTGGTAGGATTTTCTCTCCAGCAGGAAAGGATTCATGAACAAAATGGAGCTTTGGAGCCTCATTTTCTGAGGTTAAAACACCAGCTTTTTGACTTTGGTTTTTGAATCACGAACCAACAGTTTTCATTCAAGTGAAGGGAAGCGAGGCCAGCATTATGTAGAGCTGTACAAGTCTCGTAATACAAACTGCTAACAGAAAGATAGTTAGAAGAAAACCTTAAAGAATACTTACAGAAATAAATGCCTGCTGACCTCTGCTTAACTCTTTTTTACCAGATGAATTAATCTGCACAAGGAGGTAGTTTTTGTGAGGATCGCTGGTGAATACCATCTGGATACCAAAAGAAACACTTGAAGTACACGTATCCATGCGTCTTCAATACTTTATCATGCCAGACAATTTATAACTGAATGCACATGCCCCAAAACAAATGCATCCATTTGTCTGTGGCATTATTTATCACACTAGCAATGCTAATAAATATCATGATATATAGTGTAACCCATTTTATTCCTTACTTTCTGTATTTTTCTCAGTTTGTACAGCTGAAACGGACGCTGCAATTTTAAGTTCATGCTATTAAGCAAAGGTCCAAAAACGAAGAGAGAAGGCTGGCCAACAGCACATAGATAATCTGCAGCAAAGCTATCCTACACAGAGTACAGACAATACTGCAGTACAAGACGTCAGATCTATACATGTCCCTTCTCCATAGCACTCAGGGCGGGAGGTGAAGCAGTGTTTTTCAAAGAACAAAAACTGAAACCTTTGCGCTAGAAGAGACTCCATGCCTTCCGGCATACAGAAGATTAACAACACAACCATCACAAACTGCTAAATTCAGTGTTCTATGCTGATAGACTGAAATTCTGCCATAAAGCCAGCAAACAGCAACACCAACTACATCGTTCACAAAAGTTTTTGCTTATTTTCTTTTACCTGAGTTGTGCCGCATTTTGTACATGGTACAGTAGTTTTTACTGGCATCTGGCTTATGACAGTTGGTACTTGGTAGTACTTTGGGTAAGCTTTTGCCATGCAGTTACTGATTCCTTTTGCTGAATCTTTGGTCACAATCTTGATCCTTTCACATCCCTGAGATGAGCAATAACTGTGACCATCCCTATTATATTTGGCTTGAAGAAATAAAAACAGTAATCTACACAAAAGGGGGAAAAAGAATCTAGATCAATTGCTGGAAAGCTTTCCATATTACATATTCACTTCTGCACCACTCTTCAAACTTATTCAAAATATTTAGTTTATTAGAGTTAGGAAGTCTCTACTGACATATCTGAAATTTCCAAAATTAAATTGAAATTTAACATCACTATGAATGCACACGCTTTGAAAAGAACAGCGCTTGCGGGAAACAAAAAACAAACTGAAAAGCATAAATGTTTTCTTTGATCATAGACCTTTGCAGATACACAGCAGTAACTGTTTGGATATTCAGCTTCACTCACCAGCACAGGACAATTATATTTGCAACATGTTGCAAATGTAATTGTCCTGTTGCAAATGCCTGGAAATGCAGTTTAGGGGGTAGTGGTCATTAACATTCACAGTACACAGAGACTGATAATTCTTCTATTACATATTTGACTTATCACTGTAGCTCTTAGACGAAAGAAAAATAAACATCTGTTCAAAAGCTACATTCATCTGTGTATTTACTACAGACAAAGTAGCAGATAAAAAACCAAAATAAATAAGAGAACAAATTATAAATTAGAGATCAACATTTGCAAAACATACAAGTTATGTACGTAGGACTTATTTTATTCAAAGTTGACCATATCTAACTTCTCAGAAGGATCTCAGTTGCTTCTGTCAGAAGTATTTTTGAAAGAGAAACTAGGACTTTGAAGTACTTTCAGGAAGGCTGAAAATGGATTAGAATTTTCAGAAATGCATTCTTAAAATGTTCTTGGAAATTTCTACAATTTTCAGTTTAACAAGAAGGCACAAATTTTCTTTGACAACTTGGAAGTTAATTCCTGAAAGACACTGCTCTGCAGCACGCCAGATACCATATTTTCCCCAGGCATGGGGTAGGAAATATCTATAGCAACTGTGGTGCTCTTGGAAAAGTATTACCATGACAACCACTGTATTTTGGAGATTCAAAGTCATATGAAGCGTTCTTTCAAATAGGCTTTGGTCTCCTTGGCTACAGCTTTCCTCTTATGCGGTATCTCAATTAGTTGCTTTTACCACTATGAGACTGGACATTTTAAGGTTAAAGAACATCCTCCAATAGGGTCAAGTTACAAGGAGTTACCCAGTACTGTTGTCAAAGTAAAACTTCTTGTCTGATCGATTCTTTTCAAGCTCCATCATTGAAGATACAGGCATGTAGCGCTCCACCTTGCTCGACAGAGCAGATGACCGCCTTTGAAAGGTTTCCAATATTATAACAAAATCAGTATTTGGTTGGTAACAAAGACCGACACGAATCCAGTCATTCCTGAAAACAAAATAAAATGTACGATTCATAGTAGGACTATGACAATATGCAGCAAACAGATCACTCAAAAAACAAGTAACAGGAACACAAAAAGCTCCCAGATCCTCAACCAGAAGATCTTTCTCCCCCTCTCTACACAAAGCATTTCCTTAAATGCTATAGTAACTTTGATACTCTCAGGATACATTTGATTTTATACTTGTTAACGTTTAATGAGTTTATGTGACAACAAAATCGAGTATGCTAAACTATCCAGCTGCAATTTTGCTCAACTTCACTATTTGCACATTTTCTTCTCAAAAGGATTTTACTTAGAGACACTGTACTGGGCAAAAGCTTAATTTTATGTGCAGGTTTATTGCCCAATCTCTTGCTTTTTATACTTTAACATTTGTATTTACAAAAAAAAAAACAAACACCCAAGATCCAGTCTTACTGATAGCTGCAAAGTCTCAAACATGCTAACTGTGCCAGACATTAATTCAGTATTGCCTTATGGATCAACAACATGAAAGAAAATAAACGTACTTGTTGAAGTTAATGAGATAAAGATAGGTGACATTCGGAGCCTTTCCATTCCAATGTATTGTGTAGCCCTTTTGGAGCATCACTACTGGCTGGTATTGTTGAAAGACAGCTCTCTGATTAATACCTCGAAGAACCATGGGATTGGCTGGGTACTCATCTCGTACGATAGTCATGGAAAGATTCTGTCCATTCCAGGTTTGGACATAAACCTATATGATATTAAGGAGCATGAAAAGAGGAAAGATTTGGACACTGTGCAAAAGAAAATGAAATAGTGAAGAATAATCAGTATATTATTAGCCAAAATGCTGCAGTCTGATGTTCTGAGTTATGCAATACACAAATATCTCCTGAATTTTTTGGTTTAAATTTTGCCCATTTTACAGACAAAAAATAGGGAGGAAAAGGGGAAAAACAATATATGGGAATTAGCTATGGCACTCAGCCAAAATTGTATAGAACAGGAACCTAATGGGAGTCAAACCCATGTGAGATTTATATTCAGAAGGTGGTATTTACATTTATAAATGTATTGGTTAAAAAAAAAAAGAAAAATAAATTTAAAAGCCCTGTAAAACCCACTATGTGAAAAAAAGACAGACAGAACTCCAGTGGAAGAAAACACCTCCAACACAAAAACTTTTTAGCAGATAGGGCTGCAACATAGAACTCCTGGCATGCACTCACATTTGATTTTACCTTGCAGCATCTAATACTGTACTCCCAGTTTGCATGCTGAAGGGAACAGGATATACACAACTGGCTGAAAAGTGTAATACGCATAAAAGTATTTTTAAAACTTCAAAGAATTTTGAAATCCAAAGACAGATAATTTCACAGCTCCTACACTCCCCCTGCACCCACAGGTTGCTCATATTGTAGATTTGCCCCAGACAGAAAGCTAGAAGAGTACTAGCCTGTGCATAGCTCCCGCTGCAAACTACTCCACTCCATTCTGTAATATTAATGCATTTGGGGTGTTGAATCAAGTAATTATCCATTCTGCCCACATAGGTATCTTTGTAGTCAGTCACTGAACCATCTAGATCATGGAATATTGAATTCTTGTCACCATCCAGATCTCCTTCTTCAAACCAGGGACCTGGTTTTCCAAAGAAGGCTTTCAAAGAAACCTGGCAACAACAATTAAAATATTTATTTTTTCCCCACGGCAAAGTACAAAATATCACTTGCACACCTGTAGAAACAGGAATTTGACAAAGTTGATTAAAAACCTTACGGGCAAAGGCAGTAGAATCTTGGAAACAGATATTTTGCTTTTTAATAATAGGCTCAGGTCAGCTCTTGGTTCTGAACAGTGTTAATATTTGCAACTGAAAATCCATTACTAAGGATATGCCAAACCTTACAAAAATCTCCTTTCAGCTTTACCATTAGCCATGAAAGAGATTGTTCTTGCCACATATCCTACATCTCCTTGGTTGTTTGTTTGTGGATTTTTTTTGGCTCGGGAGACAAAGGGTACACACTGGGTGACTTCCACCCAAGAGAGAAACTTTGGACTGGGGATGTATAGAAAAGATGATCTAGGGCCCTTGGATGTTAATTTTAAAATACAGCATGAAGAAAATAAAGCCATTTGCAAGAATAAAAGAAAACTTGTAACAAACTTACATTCGGACCAAACTCCACAAGAGAAATGTTGTTTTTCGGTGTCATCTGCCATGGATTTTTCATCAAAAACCCAACTGCGCTGGTAAATCTGTCTGGAGTTGGCACAAAGTTTTTGAATGTGCACTTGGTAAGGTGAATAGGCCCATCATAAATTTGAAAGCCTCTGATTGGAAATGTCCTGTTAATGCAAGCAAATATTTATAGCATCCTGTAACAAAACCCATGATGAATGGTAAGTCTGAATCTGTGTCACAAATACATTTCCTCTCAGAACGATCAAGAAAGCAACACGAAAAGAATGACTTGCAGGTTAGAACTTAGTATAGGTAATCCTGTTTCTGCACTTATGTAATGAGTCAAAAAAATCTCCCACTCTTTTGAATTTTCCTGTTAAAAGACCTATCACTGTCCATTCGCAAATGTGCCCCTTTCCCAATACAGGAAATGGAGCAGGAGAGTAATACCATCTGTTCTCTGATTGATGATGGCAACTGGGAGAAGTGTCCATAGACTAGGGGAAAGCAAATGTCACTTCTAACTTCAAGAAGGAACACTCAAGGAACTGCAGGCTGGTAAGCCTTAGCTTGGTCCTCAGGAAGGTGACTGAGCAGCTAATCCTGGAAACCATTTCAAGGCAAGAAGGACAACAAAGTCATCAGGACTTCATGGGTTCACCAAGGAGCAGTCGTGCTTGACCAACCTAACAAACTTGTGCGATGAAATGACTGGCCTGGTAGCTGAGGGGAGAGCAGTGGACACGGTCTACCTAAACTTCAGTAAGGCTTCTGATACTGTCCCATAGGATCCTCACAAAGTATGGGCTGGAATAAAGGCCAGCAAGGTGGATTGAAAACTAGCTGAATGGTCAGGCCCAGAGGGTAGTGGCATGAAGTCTACTTGGAGGTCAGTAATTAGTGGCTCACCCCAGCGGTCAGTACTGGGTCCAATCTTGTTCAACATCTTCATTAGTGATCTGGGTGATGGGCCTGAGTACAGTCTCAGCAAGTTTGCAGACAGTACAAAAAACTGTGAGGAACAACTGATACACCAGAGGGTAATGCTGCCATCCAGACAGACCTTCACAGGCTGGATAAATAGGTAGATGGGAACCTCATGAAGTTCAACTCGGGGAAGCACAAAGTCCTGAGCCTAGGCAGGAACAACGCTATGCGCCAGTGAAAAGGACCTGTAGGATCTGGTGGAAACCAAGATAACCATAAGCCAACCATGTGCCCTTGCAGCAAAGAGGCAAATGATATCCTGGGCTGCACCGAGAGAAGTGTTGCCAACAGATCAAAGGACACGATCCTTCCCATCTATTCAGCACATCTGAAGTCACATCTGGAACACTTTTCCCCAGTACAAGACAGATGCGGAGCTGCTGGAGAGAGTCCAACCAGAGGCCACAAAGATGATTAAGTGACTGGAGCATCTCCCATAGGATGAAACATTGTGAGACTGGAGCAGAGAAGGCTCAAGCAGGAATCTCTCATCAAATCTGTAAGAATCTCTGAAAAGAGGAAGCAAAGAAGATACGGCCAGGCTCTTTCCAGAGGTGCTCAGTGACAGGACCAGAGGCAACGGCCACAAGCTGAAAACCAGGCGGTTCCTCCCGAACATAAGGAGAAACCCTTTCATTGTGAGGGTCACTGAGCACTGGCACAGGATACCAAGTGAGGCTGTGGAGTTTTCATCCTTGGACATATTCCCAGACAACCAGCTCCAGGTGGCCCCGCTCCAGCAGGGGGGGTTGGACAAGATGAGCTCCAGAGGTCCCTTCCAACCTTCACTGTTCTATGATTCTGCTCAGCTAGACTCAATACCTCGTTTATCACCACCACATTAACTTCTTCCCTCTAAATGGCTAAGCAGAAAAAAACAACAGGGTGGCCTAGACCTATCTCACCCTTCTTTCCTATTTTGTGGCAAGGGCAGGGCTTGGCACTGTGTTAAACAAGTATCACAGCCAGCCAGAGAGAAAAGAAAAGGATCATGGTCACAGATCGGGATGTGTCACAGACTATGGTCTCTAGTCCTATACTGACCCTTGAAATCCTTTTACCTGAAAGCTTTTTCTTTCTCTCTTCCAGGCCTAAATGTTGTTTAAGACTAACGTTTCATTAAAGTAGGATAACTTAAATTGCTACGGAAAAGCTACCTGTGGTAGCACCAGATGAAAACTGACTCCGGAAAAAGACGAGAGGGACACAGCTGCACACAAAGTGTTAAAGAGAAAAAGAGAGCATCACCTTCAATAGTGTCCTAATCTCTCACAGCTCAAGCAAGAAGGGTGCTTACATCTGATACAGAGAATGTTTCTTGTATCATTTCTACCTCCTTCACTCTTAACATACTTACCGATTTCTAGGCAGAGTGCGCGTCTTGTTGTCTATTCCTCCAGTCCCCACGTATTTATTTTGGCCACCTGGAAACCCGTAATTCTTGCTCTCACCTATGAACAGTGACTCAGATACCTCCTGGCTGGCACCTTCATCATTTGGGAAGCTCCCATCACTATCAAAGCAATGTCAAGAGACAAGCTTTTAGCCAAGACTCTCCAGCAGATGAACACACTGAGGCATAGTCCTACTCTTACTTCTGTAACAGCCTTCCTAAAGCAGAGCAGTCTATACTTCATTTACAATACAAAGAACAATAACTTTAATTATTAAACAGTATTACAGGCTGTTTGAAATACCAGCAGAGAGCTGAGCATTAAATTTTCTGCCTCCCTTTGTAGTGCAGCACTCTTTCTTCTACAGTTCACTTTTGCAGTCTTAGAACCAGTTTGTCATAACCTAAATGGCAGCAATTTTGGCTTGCTACCCAAGTTCTTTGATTCTCTTTTATTAGAAAGAGACTCTGCCTCTCCAAATGCTTATCCCCCTTTTTTTTCCATCCTTCACTTTCAGCTGCTCAGGAGGAAAATAAAAACTGCCTAAGGAATCACACAATACCAGAAATACCTGGACAAACACAACACTTCTGTTAAAGAGGCAGAAAATTGTGGCGTAAACCAAGCACAGGCTGAATTCAAGTGCAAGCTTTGGCAGCTGTGTCAGTTTACAGCCTTTATAACATCACCTGCACGACTGAAAATAGAACTGGGCCCAAAAATGAAACTATAGCCTTTTGAAAGTATACCTATTCATTTTAATAGATGGATGTGTATTTGCCAAGCTTCTAGGCCAGAAATACCAGAAGTGATTAACATAAAAGTACTCACCTAGCAAATGTCAAACCTATTCCATTGTCTGCAAACCTGAAAGAAAGTTCAGAGCTTTGGTCATATTTTTCTGGATTATCTACAATAAGCTACTGTAAGAGCACATCCTGCTACGCACTGAAGAAAGCCTGAATTTTTCTATTAACGGAATATAGAACCACTACACACTTAACTCTTATAAAAATGTTGCTGTTAAAAAAAGATCGTAATTTTCTATATATTTTAAGCAGGAATATGAGAGCTTCAGTGAAAGCACAGGTACTTGTATAAACTTACCATCTCTACCAACTTTTAGACTTCTTTTTATCACACAGTTGTGTTTTGCCATTTAAGGCAGGTCCTCATCTAATCACATATAAACGTGTTTCATTTAAAGTAGTGGGATGGTGTGAAAGTGGTTCAAGATATTGAGAAGCTCCTCAAGTTAAGCACCAGTCTTCTCTTATAACCCTGTTGTAATGCACTTTCATGAACAAAGCTTCAGGGGAAACTTCTTAACAATATGCAGCTGTTTGCTTCTGGATACCTACCCAGAGTTTTGAATGAGGATATCCCCTCCCCTGACCCAGGCCCCATGATCATTGTTTTTGAAAGAGATTAATCTGTCAATCAGGGCAGCAACTCGGGGCTTTTCAGGGTCTGCATCTTGATGAGGTCGAAACCTGGGACAGACAAAAACCCAAACATTCAGTGTAAGAGTAATGTTTGTTTTACACATCATATATGGTGGGCTGAGAGAGCTTGAAGGATTAACACTCCTGCTCATCTGATAGGTAAAATCCACACTACTTCATATTTGGAACAACAGATGCCAAAACCAGGTGTATCTCTAGCTCTTTATTTCTAGAAAATTGTCTTCAGGGTGTAATGCAACAGGAACATAAAACTTCTCTTTTCCATTAATTCTCACAGGCTTTTGCTCAAGCTCCCTGAGTTTCTTTAGGTGCATCTCACCTCCTTTTAACTCCTTGCTTTTTCTTTTTGCCCTCCCCAAAGTACTGCCTCCCATTTGTACTGCAGCATTGATGTGAAAGTTTGATGGAGGGAATTAAAACTCCTTGGAAGGATACACAGGTCTGAGAGGCACTACACAAGGAAAGGCTGGAGGTTTGTCTAACCGCTCCTTCAAATCTTTCAAAGTCTTCTGACGCTGAGAAGCGCTGCTTCTTTGAGCACACCTAAGATATGTTTCTAGTCCAACCCAGACATTCTGTATTGCTACCAAGCTGGTCTCGTATGGTAAGTTATGGTAGGAATCTATTTTAGACAACAGGAGGAAACAACCTGATTAAAGACTGGTGGAAGCTTGCACTTGATTATCCCCAAGATCCCAGAGAAAGAGTACTACATTTTAAAAAAACATATAAAAACGCATTTTGAATGCATAAAGTTCCAGACCACCTTGTACTCTCATTTGGATCTGCTCTGCCCCTCACCAGGTGAGGAAGGGGAGAACGGGTCAATGTTTGTTTCTGACTCCTGTTAACGTTTAAACCCTTCCAGTTTGGTTCCACATACAATGATCAGTGGCCTCATGTAGTCAGTATGCCTCACTACTTCGCTGGCTGCTGTGAAACACGAACCCCATCTCATGCACCAAGTTTCTCGCATCCTCTGTTGATGCCCTGACAACACACTACAGGTTCTCAACAGGGCATTTTGCCCCTCATACATTCCTCTTGACTACCTGTTATGACTGAGGTAATCCACAAGTGTTATATGGGTTTTCTGTCAAAACTTTGACCTAGTGAGTTCATTTCCAAATCATAAAGTTATCAAAGTATCACCAAAATTGAGAACCTTCCTCTCTGCATCTGCAACTATCACTCAACTATCCTCATCCTAAACACAGGTCAATCAGAAATAATCTTAGTAAGTATATTTTCAGTTTTAATACTTAGTTGTCACAATAAAATGTTGATGCATACAGTTATCCAAAGTTGTCATTTCACCACTACCCCAGGTTATTTTATTTGAAGTTCAGGACAAGACTAACCAGGCACAGTTTAACCCGGAATTTTCCTAGACTCTCCATTATTTTCTCTCACTTTGTAAACTAATGAAAAAGTGGTTATGTGGTACTATCTCTGCAAATAGCCTTCAGTAAAACTGTACCACGTAGCTATGATCTCCAAGTCCTCTATGAAGCCTTTTTCTAAGAATTATTTAAAACTGAGTCATAAATCAGAAGAGCAGATTTTAAAGACTTTACTTTTTGCAACAATTCCAGAAAATACTTTAAGCATGACAGTAGAGCACGTTTAAAGCGATGTCTTCTAAGAGGCTGAAAACTACCCTGAGCAAGGGCTCAGAAGAAACAGCCAACTCCTTTAGGGCACACCATGCTCCATTGTTCCCAAAACAGATGAACAAAGGGAGGAAAAGAATATATAAGAACTTCATGTTTGGTTATTATTTGTAAATAATTCTATTGTGTTAAAAATGTTTTTCCTCACAAGAACGTAAGAGCAATCTCAGAACTTTGCCCTTTTTCATTCACTTGAAAGACAATATCCTTTACCTGGCATTGTTGTCCAAACAAAGATATTCTCTGGGATCATCAACGCTAGCATTAGTTGTTTTAACACCCTTATCAATGAACAAACCAGCCTGAAAGAAGCACGGAAAGAAAGTTCATACTATACAAAATTAAAGATAGAGTAAACATTAGATTTCTAAAATTTAAACTTTACATTGCATTCAATACATGTACTAGAAACTCTTAGATTTTTCAGTTTGGCCTTAAGTGACATATTGTTTAAGGAAAAATAGCCACTGTCTATGCTAATTTGGTTCTGGGATTAAAAAAAGTTATGGAAAAACATAACAATTCATTTCAGATTTCTTTCACAACATCTAACTATTTGAGGTTTTACACTTATTTTCAGATGCTGTTCTGGAAAATCTGGAAGCCAATCTTGTGGCAAGTTCAGGGGGAACCACTGAAAAATGCTTTGAATTTCACTTTAAAACTAAACTATCTTCACCACTGAAGCTGCTTTTTGCCCAAGCAATCATCAGCTTGAAACTCAATAATCCAGTATGAAATAATTTCCTTGAGAAAATAGAGGCAGAAGGAAGCATTTGTGTTATTTAAACTGAATTACATACACAAACACCTGCAGCTACTTTCACCTCAGATCCAAATTATGATTACAACTGAGTGCTCCTACACAAGTAGGTCCTCAGATCTGCTAGTGGAGTTTTCTTTTTTAACATGGAATTTTAGCACACAAATTGCTACCCTTATTTAAAGATAATACAAGCCATACAGCTGAAACTTTTTTGTCTACAATGTACTTTTGTATTCAGTATGTTCTAATTCAAACCTGAACAAATGTCCTACAGTCCCAAACACACCGTTAATACAACTTCCATAAAACAGTGCATCATTTCTTGGTAACCCAGACATCCAACTATCAACTAAAATCAGTTTCACTCGGTAAAAAAAAAAATCCAGCAGTGATCCTGAACTTCTAGGTAAACTTCAAACACAAAAAAATATTCAGAGTTACGTGGCTTTGCAAATGTAATTTTATTTTTATTTATACATACACACTCACACACACACAGAGCAGCTAGATTCCAAATGAAGTCACACTGAATGCCTGTATATAGGCAGAGAACTCTAATAAAAAACTGCAGCCGATAGCTGCGCCCCTGAAGGCAATCTTGAAGCTTAATCTCTAATCAGAGCCTGTGCCACCCTGTGCAAACACCTGAGATGCCATACATGACAGACTCAGCAAAACAAGTCACAGCTATTCCAGGAAGCTATTAGATGAATCATAACTGTAAGAAACTTCGATGCTTCAGGGGTCAGCTTTCTTCAGAGTAGAAAACAATGCCATCAATAAGAGTAGCATCTGAAATGCTAATTCTGAGAAAAGCTATTTCATTAGAAGTACTAACCGATTTCAGTTGCTTTTGCCTTATGAGGACACTAAACACAGTGAATACTCCTAATGTGGCAAGAAACTATACACATGGTGACTATACATCGTTCTACAATACCTAGATAGAATCACGCAGTTCAAACAGCGCGAATCCATCACCTAACCTGCTTAAAATGTAAACAGACAAGTCCTAATATAGAATAGTTACAAATAAAGAACGTCAGTATTTTTTTGTAATGATACATAATACATTATAATACATTAATATACTACCTTAAAATTAGAATGAACCCTGTTGTTATAGAAGATTCCTAGGGGTGTGAGCTCTGACTTGGTTTCCATGGCTAAACTATGAGAATCTCCTGTAGCAACCCTGTGGAACAAATACCATATTCCAGCATCCTGCAAGTAAGGAGAGAATGACATTACTTATAAGCATGTGATACTACTATTAGTGCTGATACATCTAATCACAAAGTAAGTGTATGCTAAGATGAACTTTGATATTTTAAGTAACCAAGCGAATAAGAACTTAGATCAAATCAACTGTGCACAAGGGAATACATTTTACAAAATAAAGTTTCCAAACAACACAGTAGTTTGCAAATAAGGCTACAGGCTAGTGAATAACATGCACTAAAATGTGTTTTGCTTCTCAGTGAAGCTGTGTAACACCACACATTTAAGATCTTCTAATACTCCAAAACAGAAAACTGTCAGACAATGCAATTTTTGTATTTCAGTTATATTTCATCACACACACTTGATTTTCCTTTGTTCACTAGTAAACCACACCATTTACAATAATATACTCAAAACCCTTCCTCTTCTCCTTACCATCACAGTCTGACTAAGGTTTGCTCATCTCTGCTCACATCAGAATTTAATGACACAGCCAAAACACCCACAAGAGCTTTCAGAAGCACATCAAGAAGTCTGGCCAGTTTAGTGCACTGTGCCAATAATATGCAGTAATAATTTCAGCATCTGTTCATTTTCTCCACTTCAACATCCCTGCTCTTAAAGAAGCTGGATTTATCTGCTGAGACCCATAAAAGTTTCCCTTTCAACCATATCTGGGTTCACAAGAGGTGGCATTGTGACAGTGCCTGCATAGCAGATACGTACAAATATGAAAACTTTTGCCTGACCACAAGCTCTGTGCCCTTACAAAATAAGAAAATCACTGCATAAGGCACATTAAAGGGTTAAACAGTAGCTAAAGAAACACTATGTACCGAGTGCTCCATCTCATGAAACATAGTCATCATCCTCCTGTTCAAGAAACATGGATAAAGCCAATTCACTCTGGCTTGAAAAGTCTTCATGCATTTTGCTCTGAGAATATACTCATTTTCCAAACAGTCCTGGAAATTCTGCTTCTCAGTAACATATTCCCATCCGTAATGATGACACACTTTTGACATTTCTGGTGATTAACAATTCCAAAGCAAATGTGGATGTTCCATTAATAAAAATACCAGAATCTTACTTCACATATAATTAAATACAGATCTGTGCTTGGCAGACTCAAGTAATTTTTATCCAAAACACATCCTGACGCTTGCAAAAAAAAGTTTAATAAACTTTAAAGCTCCTTAAGCATTCACAAGCCCCCCCCCCCGTATACAGCTCAAATGAAAGAAACATCTATTGCTGATACAGCCTTACAATAGGCTTCATTGTGTAACAAAGGAGGTGGCGGGGGGGCAATGGTATTATTTTATTTGCTTGTGAATTATTATAGTTTATACCAGCAAAAGCTCAACGGTGCAGAATTTGTACTGACACAGTTGAAGTATTCTGTTTCTGAAGCATAATAAGCTGTAGTCCCTTTATACTAACATGTTTACATCTATGCAAGGGAGGTATATCAGACTGGCCAAACTTCATAACATACACAAATGCTTGCTCTGACCACGCACATTCTGGTAATAAGAGCACGTGACCTTTACTGGGATGCACTACAGAGGCAAAAAAAGACCCTGTACATTTTAAGCACCAGATTAAGGAAGCCATTTCCTTCAACCTAGCCTGCAGTGCTACAACAGGATAAAGGAGTATTGAATAAAGCAGGCAAAACTGAAAGACATTGGGTTGGGAAGAATAATTGGTTTGATTTGATAAGTGTGTCTTCCTCGTGGTAGACAGTCGACTAGAATAGTGTGTCAAAAAAAAAAAAAGACAGACCACAGAAAAAAACAGAACAAAAAACAGAACAATTTATTTTTATACTCTAGATATTTCAACTCATTTAAATATTTTGATCATTTTCCACAAATAACAGTTTATTATGTACCCTGTGCCTAAGAATACTCTGACACACACTCCTATTCTACTTCCATCACTAGAGCCTTTGTAACAACAAAAATTCTTCCTGATTTTCATTCCCACTGATCTCTTCAGAAAAATCCACTCAAAACCATGTACACTGCAGCCTCTCGTGGAATGTAGAACAGACTCCAGCCCCTCCTCCATAACATGTACCGAGTAGTTCAGCTTTACTTCACAAGCAGCTGTGACAAGAGATTTAAACTAATATAAGGTTCACAACAAGTAAAAACATATCAGCAGTCACTGATGAGAAACAAACGACTAGCAACTGACAGTAAAAGTGTTCTAGCTGTTTCCTACACAATGAACACTATTTATAGTCATTTCTCATTCCAGTGACTACAGCTATGAAGACAAATCTTGCAGAGCAGTCACACAGTAAACCCATGACAACCTACAGAAAATACAGAAGCCTTAATATGAAATGCACTAGCTCTTTGGAAATAAAAGGATTTATTTCTACATACACACATTGACACTGTTGTCAGGTCTATTAACTGCAAAGAGGAAGAGATTTTCTCTGTTGCAGCCAGAAAAAAGATTTTTGGCATCTCTTCAAAGCACACTTCAAGAAACACTGCACTTGTTATGCCAGTATGTTGTCAGGCACAAAAACAACATATTCATATACAAAAAAAAAAAGGATGTATTTTTGGCAGTGTAAATGTTACAGGTTTTACAAATACCAGTGGCATGACTAGTTTCAGTTGAATTACATCCATACGCCTCACCTGTGAACCTGCTGCTGCATTATTTATAAGATGATTGTTGGGATGAGAAATCCAGAACGTTGAAACTGCCCTGAAATATTATTCAGAAAGAAGTTATTATGGAAAAGCTCTAGCTCCTACAGAAATATCTCCCCTTTGTAACAAGCACATCAGAAAAAGCTAAACTGATGTCTAAAGTTACTACTTCACATATGAAATAAAAATCACACCCCCTCCTCCCCATTTAGAAGTCAAAAGTGCTTCTTTTTTTTAGTTCAATGCACAGTATTTTATTTGATGTTGTTCAGATACTCCATGCAATAATAAACTGTTTTAATAAGCTTCTACAAGAGATTAGTAGTATGGAAAAACTAGTAGTGACAACCTGAGTGTGTGTACCTTCACACAGAAGTAAAGAGGCAGCCTTAGAAGTCTACAGAACAAATATCACAACTACCTTCCTACAAAACAACTTAGTTTTTCTTTTTAATAAAATACTAAACATTATTTTTTTTTAAATACCACTACCTTATGAGCTACATTTAAGGTGTCTGCATCCATCAAATTATACAAAAAGAAAATGTTCCCTTCTGTATATTTTCAAGAGATCATCAGCAATTTAACTGTTGCAGCTGGTTTGGTTTTATTTTTTCACTACAAGATACTCACATGCAGTCTGTGGCTGGCACTGGGACATAACCTCCATACACTTTATCCCTAATACCAATACACATGCTGCTGTTTCTATCTGTAGGAAGAAGAGTGCCCGGTTTCGTGACTAGCCCAAGGTTGTGGAACAAAGTATTCCTCTGCTCAATGCCATCTTCTGTGAAGAAACAGTGACCTAGTGTGTCATAGCCAATGGTGTCCTTTATCTGCAAAAATAGAAGTTCATTATGTCAGTAGCAATAGCATTTACTGAGATTTATTTGACAAGTACCATTTAATTTTACTGTCTTGGCACAGCTGCAGAGTGAAGCTTCAGTATCAGCAGTTCAGATGATTCAAGCATACATTTTTATTTATCGCTTACAAACACACTACTATGTCTGGAGAGCTTAGCTGCCTGGAATAATCTGAAAAAACAGAATGGTGAGAGCTGTTGAAAAGAAGTTACTGTTTTCACTTGTTCATTTATTCAATGCCAATAAAAAACCACATTGCTGAGCATTAAACTTGAGGAAGGGAGGGGGCTATTTTTGCTCCAAATGCTCTTTATAACATTTATTTCAACACACTATGTTTTGCTCTCCTTGCACCTACCAGCAAGCCATTAGTTGCATGAATAGTCACACATCTGGAAAAACAGTGATGAATGGAAAGACCTTCCACATAAGTCTTGAAACTATAGCCTCCCTTTTCATCCACATCCCCACACAGGTGAAAGTGAACGGGGTAACTTCCGATCTGCTGCTGCCCCATCTGCTTCAATTCCACATACGAGAGATGAACAGATGTAAAATTCTTCAAAATCTAAAAATACAATGAGAAGTCCAGAATGAATAACCAACTACTTGCTTTTTATCCAGTGGAAACTGAAGTTAATACATTGCCTGTACCAGATGTACAGAAGTTCGATGTACACAGTTAACGCAGGACAACATAGTAAAAGTTACAACAATCATTACTGTCTTCCTCTTCATCCTGCCTTATCAAACAGTATCCTTTACAAGTAAGTGTAAAAGCTAAATCTTCATGTGGCTAAAACAGAGCAATTTTCACCAGACATGTTGCTACTCTTTACTGTTTGGTCTTTAACAGCTGGCATGTTAAATATTCTTTATATATAACCACGTACTGTCCAAATAAACAGAAGTCATTCACATCAGGGCCTGTCTATACTGAAGCTGCACCAGTGCAACCCACCTGGACAGGATTAATTGAATAAAATCACAGAATAATGCAGGATCATAGGAACCTGTTGAGAAACCTGGTCCAATCGCCAGCTCAGCACAGGGTCAGCTTAAAGACAGCTGCTCAGCACGTTGCCAGAAGAATACCTCCAGCCACAGAGACGCTCGTATGACATCAATTGGTTCTTCCCTTTCATCTTCCCAGTATCTAAGCAGAATTTGCCTTGTTGAAGCTTGGTCCCACTGCCTCCTGCCCTGTGGCTGTGCACCTCCAAGAATTGCTCTGGTGTCTCTGAACTCTTCCCAGTATCTGAAGACAGCAACGAGATCCCTCCTTTTCACCTTCACCACACCAAACAAGCCTTGTTCTCTCAGCTCCTCCTCACTCATCATCACAGACTCCCACACAACACCTTCACTGGACACACCCCAGGGCACCTACATCATCTTTGCAATGGGAACCCAAAACTGGACAGAGAACTCCAGAGGAAATCCTTTATTAAGGAAGATACGAAATTGCCTTCAGAACTACACAACTTCACAGTAACACTACCTAATACAAAGTAAAAACATGATAGGGCTGTACCACAACACTGGAAAGCAAAAGCATCTTCTTCCACCTAAACTGCTACGACAACAGAAACGCAAATGCAACAGCTAAACCGCAAGGAGCTAAGCTGCGAAACAACCCTTTTTTGTTATTTGTTAACTTATCTGTACTGGTTATTTATAAAAAATAACCATTTTCGTATGTACTTTGTCCTCTAAGGAAATTAGTAATACGGACTTTTTTTTCCCCCCTCCTCTAACTGCACTCCTAAGGTTTGTATGCCTGCAATACAGCAGGATGGTCAAAACCAGGCATCCAGGAGATCTCCGACTCTTAACATTTAAAAGCAGTAATGCCATCATGAAATTCCAAAACAATGCCTCTCCTCACTGCCACTAAGCCTCCTTTATGCTGCTGTCCCAGTGACCAGTAGAAAACCCAGGATGATCAAAATCCCTGAGGCCATTAAGATTTGCTAGTGCCTAGGCTCCCTCTGCTTGAGCACGCGAATGCTCAAGCATAAGCCAAAAATGCTTTTAATGCTGAAGTCTAGGTTTGGCAGCAGACACTCAGCTACTCTGAACAGTCTTTTGGGAACAGTTTAACAACTTTGATGACTCAAAAGATTTGTTTTCTGTTCTATCTTCCAGACATCTGAGGGGTCTGCTGTATTTGCGGTATTGTGGCAATCAAGGTCACGCTTTGTAAGACTCACAGATTGTCATTACCATCTTTCATTGCATTATCTTTAACACAAAAGAGTGCCCTGAGCCCACCTACTTCTCTTCCACAAAACAAAAGATGCCACACAGCAGGGAAAGGGCATATTTTCTTTCCCACCATTATAAAACTAAAATCTGCATCCAAATATATCAGAGATTTAAACTGTGACTAGCACATAATGAGCACAAATACATTAGCATTTAAAATACAAGGCCTCAAACTTCTCCAGCATCAGTGAAGAGCTGATACATTGCTGCTCAATCCTTTCATCTAAAAACATAAGTGAAACAAGTTTAAATACTAGTTTCGATAATACTACTTTCCCTCCGCTTTCTTTATATTTATAATAGTACAGGAAATTAGAAGCAATTTCCTTTACACAACCTTAGCACTTTCAATTTTTTAAAAAATCAAAATAAAAAAAACACCATGGTCCAAGCTTGGTTTTTTCCTTCTCCATGCTTCTCTAGCGCCCAGTTTCAGATAAGGCAGATCTCTAGGATTCAATGCTCATCACTTGGGGAGGGAGAAAGGCAGTGAAAGCAGAGGAGACAAAAGGGAGATCAAACTTCATTCTGTTGAGGATGCACATGCATGGACATCACTTGCAAGGTTTAATCCCTCCCATACAACATTACAATATATGCTGGATACTTCTACGAGACTTCATGCATTGATATCCTTTCCTCCAATTCTGGATAGTAAGTCTTGATGAGTTAAATCTCATTTTGGGAAAGCTGAGAACAAAGTCATTTCTATGCAAAGCAACTGTATGTATTGATGTTCTTTAAGTTTCCAAATCCCTCCAAGTTTAGCATTAATCTTTTTGTCCTCAATATCCCTTTACATGACAGAAAGTTACTTTCAAATGTTTTTCAGACCTTGATATGTCCACCAAATGTATCGTAATTGAAGAACTGACACTCCTTTTCATGATAGCAGGTATTTTCTGTCTCCCCCTTGATTAAGATATTCCTCGTAAGAACTCCAACTTCTGCCCTCATGTCCACTCCATCAATAACTTCTCCTACATGAGGAAACTGAGGATTTTCTGTTCAAAAACAGTTTTAAAGGAAAAAAGAGTTGTCATTGATTAAAAACAAAACCAACTTTTTATATAAGCAAGGTAATTGTAGCAACAAGACCCATGCACTCCGACACCTTAACTTATTGTTCTCAGCTTTTCTTATGCTAAGGCAACAGAAAAAGCAGATAATGATTAGATGATAAACATTAACCCAGATAGCACCAAGCAAATTCTCCCCTTCCACACTGTGGTTGACTCAGTGACAGTTAAACGACAAATCAATCGTGCTATTCCACGTTTCCTTCCAAAACAAAGTGCTATCTATGTATTTTTCATTTTAGGAAGACAATTAATCCTAAACAAATCCCAACATTCTAATTGCAAGTGCATCTTAATTTCAGTCCAACAGTTTGTGAACATAATGAATAAAAAAACAAAGAAAAGTTGACAATCCAAAGTATCTAGAAAACTTTTAATGAAACATAGATGCATATTTGATTTGAAAGAAAAAAGACTGGCTGTTTAACCTGTTTCAAAGAAAAATTACGAACTGAAATGAAGCCAAAACACCTTTAGAAAATACTGTATTCACCCCCCTCTCAAAGTAAAAAGGATTTGCTTTCCTAGCTGAATCTGCTCTTTCCTAGATAGCTATTCTGAAGGCACATAAACTAAAGTCATGGAAAACAAGATACTCTGGTTTTACGCTGTTCTTCCAAAGAAACAATCAATTTCTGATTTGTCTATACGAATGAAGAAAATTATCTGGTCCCATAAACCTTAAAAAAATTATTTATTTTTTTAAAGTATTTTTTCCCCCTTGTTGTTGTTTTTTTTTTTTTTTTTTTTTTTTTTTTTTTTTTTTTTTTTTTTTTTTTTTTTAAATTTTTTTTTCCCCCTTTTTTTTTTTTTTTTTTTTTTTTTTTTTTTTTTTTTTCCTCTATTTGTTGGTTTCCTTAATACAGACTATCACTATCCCTCCAAAGCTTACAAAAGGATACAAGCCTAAACTGGTCATTACCACAACACGAAGCAGAGCCAAGAGTGGTTATTAATTCTATACCCGCTGTTGAGGGTTTAAAAAGACAATATATGTCAGTAAATGGGACTGGACTCCTCGAAGATTTACCTATTGTTTTTCCCCTATATTGGACTAATACATAAATCAAGGGAAGAAAGAGCAACTAGGCCTCCTACAAAATACCTACTACCAAGGAGCAAAAACAGCTAAAAACTTAAAATATAAAATAAATAATTTCAAAAAATGCTGAGTTGTTCAGTATGTCAAGTTTGCTATTCCACAGGATTCTTTGTGGAAGAAATATATAGGATACTTTGGGGATTCTTTAAACAGCATCCATTATCATGACAAAGGAAATACTGGGGGTGAAGAAAAACCCCAAGATGGGCTAGTTCATCTCCTTTAACATCTTTTAAAGATTTATATATAGTTCAGATAGCATTTATTAAAAAAGGCAAAATTTTGTATTTCATGCCATATTGCAAGTCTCCGAATTTTTTTTTTCAAATCCTTTAAAAGCAGCTGCATTTTCACAGCACACGATTTCTGAGACGAAACAGCATTTGCACATAACACTATTCAATGGCAACAAAAACCTTCTTCAACTTTGTACCACAACCTTTAAGTTAAGCTTGCTCTTTACGGTACGGCGCTCAATAACACACACAAACGTGAGACACTTAAGAACAACGCCCACAAAGTGTCATAATGCTCAACAGCACCAAGCCAGCTCTGCGGCTTCATGCACTCTGGCATTCTCCGATTTATGAATGTGAACTTCGATACACTTTTTCCACATCTGGGACTTCGCAATGCAGTAAAACATACCTGTCCCATGCTAACGAGCGCAAACTGCACTGCAAAGCGGACACAGAAACTGGCAGTCCCTTAAGACACGGGGAAACAGGAAGGTTTGAGGGCGTTCACAGAAAAGTTCCGAGAACAGAGAAAGAGAAGAGTGGTTTGAAGAAGAGGAAGTCGCACCGTGCAGAGGTGAATGGGACAAAACCAGATCTTGAGGAGCATCGATGGGCTGCTGCAAGCTAGAACAGCAGAACGACACAAGCCCGTTCCTGCTGCAGGCTGGGCCCGCAGCGAGGGGGAAGCTAAAGGCCCAAGGCTGGGGCACCAGCAGGGATCAGGGCAGAAGGAAAACTCAGACACTGGCAGAGCCAGTCCCACGGGAGGCTCTTGTGAAGCCAAGCAGAATGACTCAGATGACAAAAAAGCAAATGGTCAACACCATGCATGACCACGTTGCGCACATCACGCCCAAAGGAAAGCAGATTGTAACTTCTCAGGGATATCCTGTGTGAGCAGAGGCTTGGAAGTGCAACGTGTTTCACAACCATTTTGATGGTGGGGGGTGGAGGAGTAACTAAGGAAAAAAAAAAAAGACACAGGTTCAAAGACTGCCATTTTCTTTTTTCATCTCTATTTTTTTTCCTTCCTCCTTTTTTAGTAATGGAAAAGTCATAATAATAACACTTCAAAAGAAGGGAAGGGCACTAAAAGCAAAGGAACTGGTAATGACCACAGCCTCCATTCAAGCACTTATAAAGAAAACTAACAAAAAGACAGAAAGGAGGCAAGAAAGCAAACAAGCATAATCCTCTTGGAAGAAAACTAAAGCATTCAAGGAGCCTGGGATGAAAGGAGAACGAAAAGTTAGTATGGCAAGTTGTGAGGCAGACCTGACATTATACAGAGCCATTTTATAGCAAGGAGAAGTACACGTTACTGTATACGACCACAAAGCAACACAGAGACAGGCGAACAGGCTGCTCTTCACTGCTCCCACTGAAAGGGACCGTCCGGCATGTACTGCCATAAACACGTATTTCACACGAATCTTCAAGTGGTGACTGCTCTCATACCTTTGACTTTGATCTGATGCTTGGTACACTCCGGGCAGGGAAGGAGGGTGAATTCTTCTGTCTGATACATCGAATAGTCCGTGCTTGCGACCACAATCCGGTCTCCAGGCTCCCAACTACTAACATCATCCAGAAGATTCAGTATCACTCCACCTACAGCTTCTACCTGGAAGCCTGAAATTGGGACACCTAATTTTAAAAAAAGTAAACAATATAAGATTATATTCACCTTTATATGAAAACATTTCCGACAAGATACTAATAAGAAATGTATGAGCTTTCACAAGCTCTAAAGCCCTCTAAAGCACAATTCTGCTCTGAAAAGTGTCAGCGTGAGATACCATTAAAGCCTGTTAATTTGGTGGATCTCAAATAAAACAAATGGAAGAGACGAAACAAGCAGTGACAGGAAAAAAATCTATGATTTTTTCTTAAGAAAATAAACTATTGTCATATGGCAGCAATTTGTAGGTCCAGCTACCTCTACTTGTTTCAAGTGACATTTTTCTGCGATTTAAAACTCTGCAGATGTAATTAAGGACCAGGCAAAACAAAGTGGGGGGACTCTCCTATTTTAGTCACAACTAATAAAACAGTTTGGCAGGCTAAATTACACACACATTCTATTTCTCTGCCTTGTGATGGATTTGCACAAGTCTGGCAACTCTTGCTTACTCTTGACCCTAACTTTACTGTACAAGCAAGTAAAAGCTGTTTTTTCTGTTTTTTTTGGTAATGTAAGTCTATAAATTTTCATAGGGCTGTAATAAGCAGTAAAGGAGTTGTATCAAATGCAGATTTATTTAAACAAATATCTGACTACCTTAAAAAATTCTTCTGAGGCAAATACAGTATTGCTTAGTAATTCTACAAACAGAAGATGGCTGCCCAAAAGCAAAATCAGATCAAAGATATCTTAAAACACAAAAATGAATGAAGGATAAAAGCAAATGAGTGGTAGGCCTGCCAGGCTCTTTATACCACAGATTCAAGTTGGTATGTGAAAAGCTGCCTAAAGTTCAGCATCAAACAGGAACAGAAGATTGTAACAAGAATGAAACATTTCTCTTGGCTTCTACCAAGTTTTCTTTTCAGTATCATAATCACCATCTCAAAAGCTTAGATTTAAAATATGCATGACTGAAAATTAAAAAAAGAAAAAAGTCTGTTGCAACTGTTTATAAGGCCCCGTATTTCTATTTAAATACATTAAACATGAAGACTCTTAATGTTTTGCTGTTCACATACTGTATCCAAATAGAAAAAGAAAATAGGTTTTACTGAACAACCGTGTCCTCATACTTCATCCACAGCAAGAAAAAAAATCCAACAAAACCCCAAAAACTTACAGCAGCACTCAGAAATTTAAAATGCTACCAACAGTTCTAGTGAAAAAAGCATATACAATATTTCTAACTTCTTCCCCAAGTGCAGGATTTGACAAAATGCTTTCCTACCATCATTCCATTCGCTGTAAGCTCTCACAACAAACTTCTGACCATCCATCGTGAAAAACTCTTTCTGAGCAAGAGCTTTCCCACCAGTGCTGTGATTTTCATAGTTTCTCACCGATTCATTACAAGAAGAATTTCCACCACCTATGACACCAACGAAAGCCCAGGCTTGCCTGTGAAAAACAAAAGTAAATGCTTGAATAAAATGGACCTTAAGTTCTTCACAAACCGGCAAAGGACAAGACAATGAGCACAGAATTCATAAATAATCCTTTTGCCTGCTCTTCCAAACTAAAATGCAACTTCAAAATGCTGAAGTGGGCAGACCTCACTGAAAAGAAACACAGTTTAAAATAACTGGATGTCCTGTCCATAAATTGGTAGATACAAGAGCTCTTAATGGAGAAGACTTTCAGATACATTTTTAGTGCAACGTCCAACAAGGTACACTTTTTCCAAGAGCAAACCGCAACAGATGAGTGACAGAAGCGATACAGCATCCTGCTCCCAGGCAGCCTTACAGGAGCGCAGGCAGTCCAGGAGCTGTGGCCCGGAGTCCCATGAGAAGACCGTGCGCGCATCAGGCTTGGAGGGATTGACACAGCCAGCAGTGGCCACTGGTAATCACTGCAGTGGACGGGCAACACCTTCTTAATATTTCAGAATGCCAAGACACAGAAAAGGAACCGCATGCTGTTACACAATTCTTGCATAAGGATCACTGACGTTTCTGAAGGCTGAGATCAAGGGTATTTGCTTTTCCCCCCCTCAACGGCCCTTCCCTCCGCTGGAGACGTACTTGGCTGAGCACCGGCGTGGAGCAGGGAACTGTCCTGGGTGTAATTCCCCTTCCTACAGCTCTGCTTAATGCATCCTGGTCTTTGGAAATGAAAAAGAAATGGCATGCCACAGAAAGTGGCCACCAAGTTCAAAAAACAAGACTGTTTTGCTGTCCTTTACTGCTCTGTAATGCCATAATTATGTGTGCAGGGGAAGCAGTCAAGATCATCTATTAAAAAGCTGAACAATTTTGCATCATTGAAGTTGAATCATTCACCCCAAATGAAAACAGCGTCAGCTAGCTTGACTGCAGTCTGTTGCTAATGATTGATTCAAAGGCAGATATTAAAAACACCATCAATCCCGTTGCCTTTGTTTCAGTCCCCTCATGATGTTGTTGTTGATTGGGATTAAAAGGCCAAAGGAAACTGTTCTAGTGTCAACCTGTTCATAGGAACAGTACAGACTAGGCCAGCTTTTCAGAAGCAGCACCAAACAAACCGAATGTTTCACACACCAGCATTTAAAATAAATATTGATTATTTTAATACATGCTATTTTGCAGGAAGCAGCAGAAGGGGAGAGGGATATAACGGAGTATTCGCCTCCATGCTGAAATCTCCTTTGTTAGCTCTACAGGTTTAACAAAACAAACCTGCTTTTCCTCACTGAGCACTTGGGGAGAGCGTCTCACTTGTCTTCCACAGCAGAACAAGACAATCTCATGTGCTTAAAGAGCCTCTACCAACTAAAGAAAACAAGCAAGAGCCAGCTCAGCAGAGAAGGAGGAAAGGCCACTTCTTCCCAGCTGCAGGCTGGAGAAGTTCCTCCCTCCAGAGTGGCGTGGAGGTCGCGGGCAAAGGCGAGCACCAGGAGCCCACAGCCCCCAGGCCAGGTCAGGGCCGGCGGCGCAGCGACCTGAGCAGCGGCCGCACCGCTCCAGGGGCAGAGCTGCGGGCACCTTCCACCCCGCGGACATGTGCTGACACAGCCGCTGACACAAGCATGCTCCTGACGGGAACCGAGCTCAGGACATGCCATCCTGACCAACAGCCCAGCCCGCCTCTGCCGGAGCAGACAGAGGAAACTAACTGAAACCCTGATGTTGGGGGATAACAAGGTTTAAGAATAGAACAGAAAAATTAAACAACCGATCCCCTGGAAAACAGAAAGAAGTTATCATCATAATGGAAGCTGACGAACAGACTGACAGTTAGTTTGGAGACTTGGCGTCCCTTCTGCTTGTATTGCTCATCCTGTGCTGCACAAAGCCAAATTCGGAACTCGCACTGCAGAAAGTCATCTGCAACAACTAAGTGGATGGCACAGCAGGTTAGGACTCCTGTTTTAACAATTCCTATTACACCTCTTCTACTGGCCCACCATTCAATCCCTGACCAACTGAAAAGAATCTTCAAGCAACACAGAAGCGCCTTACAAGCGTACTTAGTGACACAATATTTTTACAGACCAGTTCCCCTTGCAGAATTGGTGGAAGGGTAACGTCCTTTCGTTTCAACAGTGCACAGGCACAAGTAAGATGCTGTCTGACACACAGGATTAGCATCCCTTTCCTGTGTTCAGTTTCTAGCTTGGCATTCTTTGCTCTTCCAAACATAGTCATACGCATTACAAGTTTCACCTGGCAACTATTTTCTACCTGTGTATTTCAATAAGAAAAAAATTCCTCATCACACCCAGTTTTAATTTCTGTAAAGAACAGCGAAAGAGAGCAATTATGAGTAAAGTCTATCACAGAGATACCTGTAACTATTAGTCTCTGCGTTATCAAAACACTGCACACTGAATACTACTACTGCAGCAGTATGTACAGCACTGAGAATCCTCTGAAGACTTTAAGGACACTGTTAAAGTTTAACGAATCCCCTAAAGGTGGCAGAATCTGTATCTAAGCTTTTCTCAGCACAAAAGGGAAAATAAATTATTTACCTGTAACTCAATCCTCTGACAAACTTACTTCCCAGAAGATTTTGAATAGTCACTCTTGTTTCTTCCAGTAGATTTTTAGCAGCTGAATCTCCTACAGCAATAGCAACAATGCGGCCAGGACTTCCATTTTTCAGTAAGTTCTGGAGCTTCAAGCTTTCTTCTGAAAATTCGTGAGTATCAAACTTCAGCACTTCCAAAATCTCTGCTGTGTCCTGATCGATCACTCTCACATTTAGTCCACGGGAAAAATTCTTTTTAAATGTATAATGACCATAGGCCAGCCCTGAGAAATACACAGTCTTTGACAGAAGAGTCCATGATAACTTCTGGTGCCCATGCAGCTCCAGCGTTCCTTCAGGGCCCACGCCAATAAATTTTCTGCCAAATTCTGGCACATCAGCACCTTCGTTTGACTTCCCATACAAAATAATAGTTGCTTTGGATTTATAGCGGCATTTCTCTGCTCCAACATGAAGCATTCCACCATCCTTTATCAGGATAAATCGAGTTCTCAAGGTAATATTTTTAGAACCTTCTTTATCATCACCAAAAACAAGTAACCCTAAAGGAAAAAAAAAAAGTTCTGTGGTCAAAGCAAAATTCAGACAGACTCAAAGAACACAGTTCTGCAATAAGAACAGGAACATTACAGATTTATTTTCCACAACTATGAATTAAGCTGTTACACTTTCATATACGTTTAAGAATATTTGGGAAAGTAGCTCCTACCAATTGCGATGTATCTTTGTAAGAATTTGTTTGGTTTATTCCTAACTTTTCCTGCCATTTTGGTAGAATTACTAACATACCACAGTCAGCATCAGAAGACAATCAAATCTTGTACAAGGAAGGCTACTACACAAGTCTTGCTTTACTGTGTCCTACAGAAAGCCACGTCAATGCTCCATTGAAAAGACTTTACTGTGTTTATTTCTCTTTTTAATAATAACATAAAATTCAACACATTTTTCATGTAATCACAGAATCATAAACTATGCAGTAAACTGAAGCATGATGTGCATCTTGCCATTCATACCTCCATCCTGTATAACTATGGAGTGTACTGTAGCATCTGAGTTCAGACGAAACAAATCCCCTTTTTTGATAAAAACTCTCTTTTCAGGATCTTTCCCAGGGCTCCAGTTTTTAAGACGAGGATTCTGATCGGGACAATTCTCTGCAATACAATGCAAAATTAAGGTTCAAAAAAAAAAAAAAAAAAACCACCATCATCACATCAATTAAGGCAGCACCAGGATGAAAAGAAGCAAGGCAGAATCAGTCATCCACAAAGGATTCCCACCTCCTTCTGTAGTCACATTACTGCAGCCACTGATGCTAATGTTTGTATTAGAGCAGCCAAAAAGATATCTGAAAGGTTGCTAAACTCACACTGGTGGGAAAGCATTCTTATACCGAATTAAACTGCTGATGACCGCAGACTGAACTGTCAACATGTACTGTTGACAATAAACACTGTCGAACTCCAGCTGAGTTTTCTGAGATTTTCTGCATCACCTGCAGTAGATGAGGAGAGGTAACTGGAAAGCACTCGGATCCATAGCAGTCACACTGAGCACTGGACTTCCTAGGCCAGCTACCTAGACCAACATAGTTGTAAAGCATTTAAATACCCCACCTCTCTCAAGGTCTCTCCCTGTGTGAGAAAGGCTGATCCCTCCTTAAGCACTCCAATCACTTCTTTCAGTATAGGTTTGCAAGTAAGGGACAAAGAGCTACAAGACACCCTTAATATATTTAGCGTAACATCTTACTGGTTAGAGCAGTTTCCTAGGAGACAAGACATTTGAACCTAAACTGACAGTTTGTACTCCTTAGGAAGTCAGCTTAAATATCAGGCTACAAATTACGCGAGAGCAGAGACACATGCAATCCTTGCTGAAGGTCTGGCACTACACAGGCAGTAACACCATACTACGAGGCCAGAAAAGGAGACGCAGCAGCAAGAACTGACAGGACTGTGTGATTTCAGATGAAGATACAGCAATGTAGTACCTACAACATGCACATCTTTAGCATATTAAGCAGCTGAGTAATGCTGCAGCATAGACACACTACAAAAACAGAAAAGGGAAGTATATTCTTTGGAGTTTGTTACAAAAAGAAAAGTCAGACTGAAAATATTTTTCTTAAGCAGAAGACAACCAAAAAGATGCCAAAATAAACAGGTTAGCATCCCAGCTGAAAGTAACTGCTAAAATAGCCTTTTCACATCTTCTCTTCTGGAGAAAAACACCCACACATCTGCAATGCAACTCTGGGGGCAAAAAGCTACTACCAACAGCCCGTTGTTGCAAAATCTAAAAAAGCAAAACCTGCCCACAAGTTTAACACAACCCAGCCTTAGCTTTGCTGGCAGAGATGTTTTTCCTTTGGTGTTACTCTCCACATTTCAAATCCTTTCCAACTCAGGAAACCCACATAAACCAAGATTTGGCTACCAGTGGGAAAAAAATTAGTAGAACTGCGTAAGGGCAAAAGGCATTCAAGTAGTAATATAAGAATAAAGACAAAAGAAAATCTTTTGGGGGATCCTAAAATGACAGCATTTAGAAAATGAAATTCAACATGAGAAAAAGCCAAAAAGCAAGTAGCACTGTGATCAGCAAGACTGCTGAGCACCCAGCGGATAAACACAAGTCTATCGCCTGACTCACACAGAGTCACTAAACCCCTTCCCCCAGACACCACACACGCAAGCACTGTGAAGAAACACATTATTTCCTGGCTCGTAGCAAAGGGCAATGTAAGGAAACCATGAGTCAGCAACCTGATGATTTCTGCTTAGCATGATTCACAGAAGATCTAGTAAATGTAAATTTTTCTGTTGAGTCAGAAAGAAGAGGTATAGCACAATAACTGGGAAAAAAAAAATTCAGTTCTATTGGACATTACAATCCAGCAAGCAAGCCATCAGCATCAGAAATAAGCATTCCTGTAATGCAAGCATGCTTCTGAAGCACAGTGGATGAACTTTTTGGCAAGCAGATCACATGTGCTCAGCAAAAGTGTTTCAAAACTCTTCCTTAGAAATTGCAGTGTGGTGCAGGGAAACATCAAATATTTAGTACTCCACCATATGTTACTTCCAAAATTACTGATTAGATTTTACAGACCACCGTCATTGCCTCTACAGTTAAGGTTAAATGAAAACAGAAGCGTAGAGCAGAACATTTTAGCTAGTTGTGGCCTTGCCAGATTTAACCACTCTTGTTGAAATGTCTTCAAGTCAAGCCTCTGCTTCAGAGCATTTTTGTAAAAATGGTTCAGCTCTCCCTTAAGGTTTAGTTGCTTCCAAGAGAGTTGGGGGCAGGGGGGAAGGAAGTGATATTTTTGCAAACAGTGGAGAAAAAAAAAAAAAACACCCACAAAAACACCCTGACAAAACCCCCTGCCAAAGAAAAAAAAAAAATAATTCTAGAACTTTCCATGTGGTGGAACAAGGATACGAAATTTGGCAGGAGAAAAGCCAGGAAACAGTTCGCAAGACGTAGTTAAATAGTTGCTTTCTACCTGCTTAGCCACCAAGTCTGGAGTTTTTAAGGCCTCTGGGAAAAAGTTACCAGTGTTATATTATGCTCAGCAGAAGTTTATCACAGTTTGGCAGCTAAATTTTCTAAGGATCCTGTTTACCCTGGGCAAGCTCCAGCTGAGAGCTGCAAAGGCTAAGCAGAACTTTTCCCTGAAAACCTCCCCAGCTTGTCACCCCGACCTTGCACCATAAGCCCCTGGAAATGGGGAAGGAAATTGCATTTCCAGCGCTCTCCCTGATCTCCAGTGTTCAGGACTCCTTAGGAAAAAAAAAAAGATGATGACAGGAAGATAAAAGCATAGAGGAAAAAACAAAGCAGCTGACAGGCAGGAACACAAATGCAGACAAGTACCATTTTCCCTTTGGGGAAGGTATGCCGGAGGTTAAGGATTTACACGCAATTACCATTAAGTCTCACATTCCCTCCACTGCCTTTTAAACAGACATTAAAAAGTACTGACAGTATGGATTTCCAATTAGCCCTTAAGAAGAACACACCTAGCTGGAACTGGTGTCCTTGGCTGCAGTACCACATGTGCTAGGTTGGAGCTGAGTGTATGAACATTTCAATCTGTTGGGAAACTCTTGGGGAGTTGCTCCAACAACAATACTGCAAGATTAAATCTGCAGCTACAGCCAGACTTTCCTTGGTGCCTGCAGGCGCTTCTCTTGTGTCAGGCTTTCCAAAGGATTCTGTGGGTGCATGTTGCGTTTTTTTAAAAGCATAATGCAGGGCAACTTCAGAAAGACACAATGCAACAATTAATGCTGAAAATGGGCTTGGACTTCTACTGAGAAGCAGTGGGACACAAAAGCAAAGCAGTCATGACCTTGGGTTACTCCTTAGCCATTACGCAAGTCATTACTGTAGACAAAAAAAAAAAAGCTCATCTACTAAATCACAGCAACTCTTCCTACAGCATCTTCAGTATCCCTGGTGATCCATCAACCACTTGCTGACCATGCATTCAGTGCAAAAAATGCACACAATTCAACGCCTCTGGAATGAGCTGCTGTGGATGAAGCAAAAACATTCCAAAACCACTTACGCTTTTACAAAAGGCCAGCCATCTCCTTCAAACTATCAGCTTTTAAAGCATAAAGAGACTATTATTTTATGTATCCCGCAGCACACAATAACACCCCACTTCTTCTAAACCCATCAACAGAATCTACAGCTTTTAGTTAATTAAAAGTTAAAGTCTTGATATCAAAGCAGGAAGGTTTTATCCCAGCCAAAAGTACTTCTCAGAGTCAACTAGCTAAGCCACCCTTCAGACTTCTCTTGAACTTGGCAGTAACCAAAGTACTTACTGCAGATACATACCCGCCACCAGTGACCTGGATCACCACACAGCAGTAACTTTCAATTTACTGCTCCCTCAGGTCTTTTTGTTTTCCTTAATAATTATTAGGAAAACTCAGTAACTTCACCCAAGAAGAGATCTCGGCAAGCCACCACCAAGAGCACTCCAGTTAGATGTGTGCATTTTGTACTGTCATCTGAAATCTTCAACTGATCATCTAATTTGTTCAACCTGTTTGGAAACTGAATCTTTTGAGGTACTATGCCAAGAGCCACTGAGGAGTCTAAGTTTGTTGTGTTACAATAGCCAACAGTTTCAACTCAAACCCCTGTTTTTTAGCTTTTAGAAATCTGAATTCTGCCTTAAGAAAAACACCAAACCAAAAGAACTCAGAATGCAAAAAAAAAAAAAAAACAAAACCAAAACCACCCAAAACCCCTACAAACCAAAACAACCCATGCTCCAAACTATACTGCCAACCATTAGCAACTTCACCTCACAGCAACTCCTAGCAGTATTTGGCCAGAGGGATGTCTACTTAGCAATCAATGGTTAATCACATCACCTTTTCATGCTTTATAATCACCAACACATTTGGGAGGATTTTCAAATTCCATGGAAGTTGCCCAGTTATCTAAGATTAACTGAAAAAATCAGGGCTACTACATCAAAAAGGTCCCTACCCAATTTGTGTATAAACAAAGCAAACGTACTGTTAGTATTAATTCTTGCAGGTTTTTAGATGTTTTTACTTGAATACTCTTTTACTACCTTCCTTAGTTACTGCTTAAACAGGATTTCATTTTGTCTGCAGTTTGTGAACAGACAGCTTCTTCTGCAGACAAAAATAATTACACTCATACAACACCCATGCTGCTTTCCTACTCACCAGCAGTCTTTATTTACTTCTATGCCATTTTGCTTCACGTAAGTAAACCAAATCATGCATAGTAAAAACATACAGAAATGACACTAAAAACAGAAAAAGAAGCTGATCTTAGCCCCCAAACACTGCAACCCTCCATGTTAAAACCGCAGTAAGTGTCCTATTTTTGCACTTAACACTAATGCTGAATAAGCACTGACACTGAATTATTGAATTGCATTCACAGGGACTGTAATGCCTAGGATGATTTTGTTTGCAAAAGAACTTACCATCTGGAGCATATTTTGAAGCTATTCCCAAAAAAATCCCCAGTGCAACAAAAAGTGAAAGGCTAGAAATGGCAAAGCAAATGAGAGTATTTTTATGCCTGCTGGCTTCTGCCTGGTGGCGGTGCTGATTCACTGGTAAGGACGGGAGTCTTGTCCGGGCTTCTTGTCTCGCAGAGGTGAATTCGGCTGCAGCATGGCTCTGCGAAGGCGGTGGGGGACGGAGAGGGGCGATTCTCCCTGGGACGTACCCCGAAGACCTGTGACCGCTCCCGTTCTGAGGCCGGAGGAAAGCAGGGGAGCTCCCCCTGGCATCAGTGTGTTGCATGTTATAAAGTCACTGGAACACACAGGGGGGAAAAACAAGAGATAGGCTTTCAGAACACAGAGTAAAATACATAAAAAAAAAAAAAGAGAGACAAAAGCAATTTTAAGCCACATGCCTTCTCAAGAGCAGCCACTGAAACTGTGGCTGTTCACAAAGAACCACTCACACAGATGCTACTG